CCTTCCCCCCTTTACAAACAGTGAGTTCATACTACAGTTGTTTCACATATCCATTTGATTTGTCACTAAGTACACCCATCAGTTGTTTGCATTGGTTTTACAGGAAATGCAAAGGTCTCAACAGTGTACTAGAGTAAAAGTACGTTTGAGAGTCAACAGCATTCTAATTCCTCTAAGTGAAAATGGAGGCAATAACGAAAAACAATACCACTGAAACCATCAAATAGTTTTGTTACCACAATAATTACAATTATTAAAAGTTTTAAGTATTTCTTGGACAAGGAATCCACGAGCTCTGTCATCCTTTTACTGAACACCCCCCAGACTGAGGCATAAATCTAAAGCACCTCCAACTCCAGGTAAGAGCTCAGGCTGGAATTGCAACCACCACCCCTGACTTCAGTGGGCTAGAAGCCTTCAAATTTTAATGAAAAAAACCCAACCAAACAAATAAACCCTGTCCCACGACTCTGCATCCTCAGCTCACATCTGTGGTGTTCCAGCGGTGCTGGCAGTCTGGAAAGAGAAGGAAGAAGGGAGCAATGCCTGCTGGCTCTTGCCCTTTAACTACTCTTTACCAGATGGAAGAGCCCAAGCAGAGAGATTCATCCCATCACAGAGCAAAGAGGGATGAAAACAAACTAAAATCCTCACACATGCAGTGCAGAAGAGGATTAGCCTTAACCAAGATTTCAGAGAATGTCCTGCAAGCTCTGACAGCATTAGCACCAAACATCATGGTATCCTTGGGTACTGGAAATGCCAACAACTGCACTACTACATACCCAGTGATGGCACACGCAGCCCACAAACAGAATTAAAAAATGACAAAAATGTACAGTTTAAGTGACTTTTGATACCATAGGATGGATCAGGCTGGAAGGGACCACCGTGGGTCATCTGGTCCCACTTCCCTGCTCAAGCAGGGTCATCCCACAGCACCTGGCAAAGGACTGTGTCCAGATGGTTCTGGAATAGATCCAGTGAGGGAGACTCCACGCCTTCTCTGGACAATCAGATCCAGTGCTCAGTCACTGCACAGGAAAGAAATTCTTCCTCATGTTCAGGTGGAACTTCTGTGCATCAATGTCTCCTGTCCCATTGCCCATGGAGCAGAGCCGGGTCCATCCCCTGCCCCTCCCTGCAGGCACTGACACACAGGGATGGGGGCCCCTCTCTGCCCTCTCTTCTCGAGGCTGGACAGGCCCAGCTCCCTCACCCTGTCCTCAGTGAGACGCTGCAGTCCCTCCATCATCTTTGTCACCCTCCCCTGGATCAGCTCCAGGTGCTCCATGTTTCTCCTGTCCTGAGGAGCCCAGAACTCCAGGTGATCCTCACCAGGGCTCAGCAGAGGGACAGGATCCCCTCCTTCCAGCTGCCAGCCATGGTCTTCCTAATGCACCCCAGGATTAATGACTTCAATTGTGACCAAAGCCCTTCTAAACACAAATAAGTGACTATCATCTTTATCCCATTGTATTTACAACTTAAACATTTGGAGAAATTTAAAGTAAGTCCTACTGTTAGAAAGGTCAGACGATCTTTATGGTTCTCCTCTAATGCTAACATAAACTGATATGGATCTTAAGAGCTACAGAAACGTAAAACCAGGTAATTTAAAATAAAGTCCTTGCAGAACAAGGCTCTATCATAAAAACCTTGCCTCACTCTTCTAGATTCAACACCTACTGAAGACAAGCACTCTCTCTCTGGCATAAAGAAAACTCCTGCTATGTGTATGTGGAGCTCCTATGATAGAACAGACTGCACCTTGGATGAGTAGCCAACAAGTTTCAATTTTACACCTGCTATGTTTTATACACTACTCAAAGCATTTTGAATGAAAATTCTAATAAAAAATAAACAAGTACACTTAGCACTACTATCTGCGAGCTGTCAATCAAACACATGGTCTGATCCACATAGGAACAGCCTTAAAGATTTTAGACTGTGTACTTCTCAACCAATACACAGGGACATTCTCTTCAAAGTCACCTGGAAGCAAGTTAGAAAAAAAAATGGCACATTTGTATTTTTCATCACTATCGCTTATCCTGAGATGTGTTAACACATTTTTGAAGGCTAATAAAGAAACCCTCAATTTATTTCTTTCTGAAGAATGTTTACGTCAGCCAAGTTGAAGAGACTGTAACCTCAAACATAACAAGTCTGGTTAAGTAAAAATACATGACTAATGTTAGTGTCATAAATGCCACTTAAAGAAGTTCAATGAGAAATTTGGATTGTTATTCCAATTTGTATTTTCATATAGCTTTCAGCAATGGAAAGGTATACTGGAAATATATGCAAAATAAGATTTCCCCTAACATTTTTTTCTAATGAAAACATGAACTACAATTTCTCTCTAGCCCTCCTGGCCTTTCCTTCCACCCACACCCCTTAAAAATGAAAAATGCAGACTTGCAGAACTTAAACACACTAAATGTCACACAATAAACAGTTTATCATTGTCATTCCCATCAATTCATTCATATACTATTACCCTGTAATTGTTCCTCACCAAAAGCTATTATTGCTGCATTTACTCAAAGTCAGTCTTATCAGTTTATTGTATTTAGAAGTGTTTAAAGCTTATCCTAAAGATCAGAATATGCCTCAACAAATTGGACTGTCTACTGTCAGCCAAGAAAGTATCTCCTTTCTCTGGTAAATTGTATGAGAACTTTGCCTAAACACTCAAAACATTTTACAGGCAAAGACCTTTTTCCACACCCTTTATGAAAATACCTTTTACTACACTTAGTGACAGTGGTAACTACCTATTTAGGAAGATAAATTACACATTTTAGTATTTCATGTGTCCGAAATGCAAATGAGAGCCAGATGTGCTAGTTGCAAGAACTAAATCACTGCATCAATCAATAACAAATCCCAGGGACATGCAGACATTTAGTGTATGTTTCACTGAAAGATGTTTGGTCAGATGCATATGTAGCAATTCAAAGCAGATTTACAGCAGCTTTCCTGAAGTTTCCTATGGACAGGCAAGGTGGTACCCAGAGTCTTTAAGCTAAATAAAGATGCTGAACCTCTGGTCCCTTGGAATTTACCTGCGTAGCATTGCAAAGAAACAGGAACACCACTCATAAATTGTACATGAAAGCTGTGTATTTATATTTTAAATGTTTGGGTATTTTTAGAGGATGGACTTGACACCTGTGTGGAAAAACCTGAGTAATCACAACCAGCTATCAGCCCTTCACACCACCACTGCTGCTATTTTCAGTGATACACCCTGTTTTTGCTTCAGTGTTCCTGGCATCATCCTGCTGCTGTGATTCAATATTTATCTGTTAGATCTAGTTACATCACAACACTCTCTACACTACCTAAATCTCGTGTGGAACTTCTGCAGCTAACACCTAATCCACCGGTTTTGAGCTCTCCCTTCGAAATTCTCCAGCCACAGAACAAAAAGTCAGCGGAGATGTGCAAACATCTGGCTCCCTGTGAATCGATCATCCATCCTCTGAAAGGGTGTGCGGTCACGCATAAGCACTGCACCTTCCTCCTAATGGCAATCGGGCAGGCATAAATCCGAGTGTGAACTGCAGTGGTTAGCATAAAACCACTTGTGAAAGGAGTGTGCCAAAAATCGTATTCAAAACACCTTTAACAACAAGAGTTCTGCTCCTACAGAAGCTCCTCAACAGCATCAAGTTAAAGCTATCATTTACCATTTATGATGGCAAACAAGGCCCTTGGAGCTTAGTATTTTTAAAAGTTGTGTTAGCAGCAAGGTGGTAGTGTCTTGTGAAACGACACAACTGAGTGCTGAAACTTCTGCTGACAACAAAGCCACCTGCTATGTCCAAGACCAGCATTTCAGTATAATCCCGAGAAAAGATTAATTCTGGAATATTTTTAGCCCTGGCCTTGAAAGCAGACAGCACTCCATATACACTGAAAAGCATCAGGGTGGAGAGCGGGCAAGAGAATACATGCAGGAAACATTCTTTGTTTATAACCAAAACACGGTCAATTATTCTCATAAAATCCATTGTCACGAAGAAAAAACTCCAAGCACACTGAACAGTGTCACTACTAAGGCTTGCAGAGCAATCTCAGCTTTGGAATCAGGCACACAGAAAATTAGGCAGTCTCAGTATCACTGTATCTTTCCTGTCCTTTTTGCAACACAGGCACAACTACAGAAAATACATGAAAGACGGTGAAGAAATAAAGAATGGATTTCAAAACTGAGCAGTCACGGAAATATGGGGGCAGGGGAGAATGGAGTTCAGGTTTAATTCTTTATCACCATCTGATTTGGGGGAGTCTCTGCATATTCTTGGTGACTCGAATTGTCGTTTTCATCCAGCAGCGGTAACCCGAAACAGCAGCTGGGGAACGCCAGCCACTGCCTCAACTCCCAGGTTTCACACAAGCCTCGAGCATCGGTTTAACAGCAGTTGCATAATAAGACTCAAAAGGCCAAGCACTCCTCCTGCCTTGTACATCTCCATTTCCACGAACCGGAGTGACGGATCTGAACGAGAACCGAGCACTATCAGAGCGCCACTACCAAGCTGGTTATTATGCAGCAAAGAAGAGGAAAACCCAACACCTGGCGCACAAATATGCAGACACCCAGCGAATAGGTGGATCTAGGGAGAGCTATCTTCCCTCTCCCTTCCCCAAGAGGCAATCCTTGATGGGTGTGCCAGGAATGGGATATCGGGGGGGAGGAGGAGAAAAGGGGTGGGAAGTGGTTGCCGCTTGCTGCAGCCAGGCTGAGCGATGGCGAGGTGGTTAATCATGGTGGCTGAGGAAACATGGGGTCACTTCTCCCCCTTCCGCCTCCCGTGTGACGAGGACGGTGGGCACCGGCCGCGGGGGGGACCCGGACCCGGCACGGACCCGCCGGCGGCGACTCAGGTGGGTCCCGGGCGGAGCATCCCCGTGCCCGGTGCGGGCGGGGGGCGCGGGGCAGCGCTCCCCCGCCCAGCCCTGCCCTGCCCGCTCCCCGCCGCACTCACTTGCCGATCACCTCGCAGAGCTCGTACACGTCCTCGAACAGCACGTCGTCGTCGGCCATGGTCCGGGCGGGGGGGCTCAGCCCGAGAGGCGGCGGCCCCGGGGACGCCCGGCTCCCCCGCCGCTCAGCGCCCACCGCCACCACGGTAAATCCCGGCCGCTCCCAGCGCCGCCCGCCCGCCCGGGGCTCCCGCGGCCGCGCCGGGACTCCCCGCTCCTGCCGCTCCTCCTCCGCCTCCTGCCGCGGCCGCCGCCGTGGTGCCGCTCGCTGTTATCGCTCCGCGGCCCCTCTCGCCCTTATCGCCTTTATCGGCCCCATCGGCCCCGCGGCAGGCACCGGGGGGTCCCGCCGCGCACCCGCCTTCGAACGAGCCGGGCTGTGCCAGTAAAGAACCTCTGCGCGAGCCGGGCTCGTTCGGCTTTGTCCGCTGCTTTATTTTTCACTCAGTGTTTTCCAGCGGGACGTCAGTGTTTTGTGCAGCACGGTCTGGACCGCCTTTGCTGTTGGGAAAGCCGCTCCTGATCCCTGAAAGCAGCGAATTCAGCCTGCGGAGCGCGGCTCCCGCTGCCGCCTCACGCCTCAGCCCGAGCGCGCCGCCGTGCCTGCCCAGCCATTGTCCCCGGCCCAACGCGGTGCACCTGCCTGCTTGCACAAGGTTTTTGAAAACTTGGGTGGTTTTGTGGAAGATAGCAAAGCTCTCTTGAAGGATTTAGTCAGGAGCTCCTGCGGTTTACAAAAAGTGTGTGTTTCTGGCAAGGTGCGTTAGCACACGTGCGACTTCCCAAAGCTCGTTAGCAGAGGTAAATTATGGAGTTGTTCCCCAGACAGAGAAAAAAAAACTGTCAGAGTGGAAATATCTGATGAAATGGTTTAAAGGTTGCCTTTGGAACATAGAACTGGCAACACTTTACCTTGCTCCTGTCCCCAGACAAATTTAAAAGGGAAAAAAAAATCAAGAAAAAATAGTGAAAATAATTACATCTAATTAATTATGTCCAATAATAACATCACTGCACAGTGCTGTCTTAAGGGTGAGAGACATTCCTGTGGGTCTGTGCTCCATCCCATACAAACCTTTTAAAAATATTTAAACCACCATCTGCTCTTTGGACTGCAAACAAAAAGCTGATATATTTAAACTGTTCTCTAAATTTCACACAGCTAAACGTGGGCATCCATTTTTTTCTTTTTGCAGGCCCACAAAGCTGAGTCCCACACAGGTCACTAAGAATTTTTAGAATATGGGTGAGTGTTCACTTTATGCTCTGAGCTGAAGTTGTCTGCAAAGCCATCGTGAGAAGTTAACATAAAAATAAAAAAGTGCACAAGGAAGAAAACTGCGGGTGATGGATCTCCTCCTGAGCTTTGGCTGCTCCAGCAGCATCACCTGAGGTGTTGCCTTCCTCTGGATGCTGAGTGCTTGGTGTCACACCAGGCCACATTGCCCAAGTGTGACAGCTTAAACTGAATAAAAGTTTACCGGGCATAATAAATGGGGGCCTTTGTGCCAAAATAGTGTAACAGAGCAAACCCTTTAAGAACTTCAGAGGACACCTGGGCTGGTTTTGGGAATAGGCATCACATGAACGTGGCTTTCTGCTAAAGGACATGATCCAGGTTGGGGATCAGTTGTGGGAAGGAAGGATGTTCCTGAGAAGGAAGTTGGAAGACATGGAACAAAAATGGGCTTTTGCTGAAGGGAGGTGATCCATTCCCTGGCACCCAGGGAATGCCAGTAGGCATCTGGCTTACTTGAGGGGTCCTGCTGCCTTCCAGGAAGGAGGGTAGTGACTGCATTTTTTTTTGTTTATTTATTTGTTTTTTAGGGCTTTTTTTCCCATCCTTGAGCAAAGAATGCCTTGTTGGAGCAGCCCTAGTATTCACTAGGCTCACAAGAAGCAAGGTGGATCTACCAAACCTGTCAGCTGTCCACGCTCAGTGCAGGGGGAGGGTGAACATGGGTGCTGCCTCCCCTTTGAATTGCGTGAAAAAAATCTGTCTGAAGCAGGATTTGTGTGTAGATCTGGATCATAAAGAGTTGCATAGTGAGCCAGCAAACGCAGCAAGGATACCACTGCATCAGCAGTTACTGGAACAATTGAGAACTGTGCTGTAACTCTTGAATGGGCTTAGGAAAATAGGAGCATTAGTCTGCCAGCAGCCAGGACCCAGCAGCATCATAATCCAAGCAAAGCATTTACAGGTGTGTTTGTGAGCAGACATTCCAGCCACAAGTTCAAAAGTAGTCATCCCCTTTCATAAGCAAGCATTCTTGATTTTCACCCATGTATCCAGTGCGGATCCTTATAGATTCTGGGATTAAATTAATAATTCTGAAATATGTATTTGTGTACACACAAAAAGTGTGTAACCGTAATGTTTGACATAGGAGCAGAAGAAACTTTGCACTTGAGACCTGAAATTATTTACTGGTAAGGTAGTGGTCTGAAAACAAAGCAGTTATTTCAGAGCTGGGAGAGGGACTTTTTGATCAGGAAAGAGCAAGAGAAGGACACTGAGTGTTCACATGAGGAAATGCCCTAGAGCCCCTGGTAGCCTTCCCCAAAGCACTGCATGTGTTGGAGCTGCTTGTCTGCCAGATTCTGGACAGGCTGGTTAAGGTTGTGTATGTTTAGGTTAATCAGTTTTGCATTCAAAAAATGCTAAGGAGTAGTTGAGTGTGGGCTTGGACACTAGAAAACTTATTTCTTAAAATTTTTTGGGATTTTCATGTTTTATTCACCTGGAGTTGTTCTCAGAGTTCACACATACAGTCTGCACATACAGCGTGAACCACAGGGCAGGTAAGTTGTTCAAAAGTGGATTTTGGAACAGTAGTTATCAGTTATCCAGAGAGCCTTTACGGTGTTTTCATTTAAAAGTTTGATGTAAAAGGTACATGATGATGAAGAACAAGAAATTTCAGTGGTTTGACAGTGTTCTGTTACCCCACAGATGTAGGAAGCACCAAATCCTGTTCCTCAGATTCCAATTATAACAGGAATTCCAATTATAACAGGTTCCTGGGGGCTTTGATCTGTAACCCAGGTATTAATTCCCTCCCTCTTACAAAGTTTGAGAACAAGACTGAAGATGAGTATGAGCTGTTAGTAATTTGTAAGAGAGAATATTGCAGGCCTACCAGGTTTCTGACAAACAGCCATATTATTTAGGTGGGCAAGTTTTATGAGTTGAAAACAGTTCATACTTTGGCCAGTAGAAATGTGTTTTGGTTGAAATGAAAAGAAAAAGTGTTTTGGTCACAGGCACAGACATTTTCAGTCCTTATAAAAACTGTTAGTGAAAGGAACCCTCAAAAGCCATCAGCTGACCCGGAGCAGGTCTGGATGGCTTCTTGCAAAAGTCTGTAATTAAATCAGCTCAGAATCTGCCATGTGGCAGGGTAGGCTGCAGCTGCAGAGCTCAGGTGTAGCACACAAGTTGTGCCACACTGTAATTAAGAGGCCAGGTTTCCCACGAATGCTTGTCTTAACAGGTGAGTGATTTTTGTCTGGGAAGATAATCTCCAACTGCATTTCTTTCCCCCAGTTGAGTTATTTTTAAGGTCCGTGACAGCGTCAGTTCTCCATTGCTCAATGAGAAGGGGACTCTCACTGCCACCTTTCCTCACTGAAGCCACCACCAGGTCTCTTTCCTGCAGCCACTTCTCCTCAAAAAGCAGTTGGAGCTTATCTCAGGGTTCTGTACCTTGCCCCGGACCAATTCTGTTGGAATTGACCGCCAGGTTCAAAAGTTCCTGGGAAAGTTAGGTGTAGTGTGAGCATGGCAAAACCTCCTTTCCTCAGGCAGCAGGCTGAGAGGTGCCTCTTTGGCATGAGCAATTTGCTTTCACTGCCCTTGAGACATGGTGACCACATCCCCTTCCTCTGGCACGGCTCACACTGACCCCGGGCCAGTACCCAGACAGGTCTTGGTCACTTTCCTCATCTGTAATTAGACTTTACTCATAGTTAAACAGAAATTGTGGTAACACCACTGAAGATGGGCATTAAACTCAACCAAAGCTGACCCAGTCTGATACTGTCAGAAGTATGACAAGTCACCTTTCAAAATCAGCTTCCAAAGGTGAAACAGTCCCAGGTAAGAACAGCTGACAACATTAAAAGAGAGAGGAATACTTTAAAATTACACAAACCCTTACTTAATTGAATTTATTTAGCTATTCCTTGCCATTCTGCTGATTTTCCCCTTCCTTGTGTACCATGTAGCTGTGTCTTGATTGCATTACTGGAGGTGTTTATTTATTTCTCCCCAGCTGCAGCTTTTCCTCATTGATGAGTATGGATTAAATTATAAGAACTGTAGAGGAAACCTCTCCAGGATGCTTTTATTGAAAATTTTTAAAATTAAAAATGTCTTAGAGGGGTTAAAACCAGGTAATAAAACCAACTGAAAATTCCAGTTATCTTCTCATCATTTGCAACCATATGCTACATTCATGCACCTATATAGAGAAAAATAATTAAAAATCACATTATAAAGACAATATCAAAATGCTACTAGCACAAAAAACTGAAAACTAGTTACCTTTTTATTTTCCTTTCATGTCTTTCTTTCCTTCTTTCTTGCATTTCTCACTCTCCTTAAGCTCTTTTGACTGGACAGGTGCCACCCTAATAGAAACTCCAGAAGGGCCCCACAAAGCAGAGCAAATGCCCAGAGGAGCTTTGGTGTAGATAAATGGCAGGGAATACTTCCTTGAGAGGAAATCCTCAGCTACACCATCCCTGCTGGATGCTGGGCTTGGAACTAATGGTTGCAGCTCAGGAAAGATCCCTCAGACTCAGCCAGGCAGTTTTCTGAAACCACTGCTGTGGGGTGCAGTGACAGTCAAAAAAAAAAAGCCAAGGCAGTATTGGGTGTGTCAGGAGAGGCATGAAAACAAGGCAGAAAGTATCATTTTGCCTCCACATAAAACTCTGGTGCACCCACAGCTGGAGGGCTGGGATGTTTTAGACCTTCCCATCTCCAGGAAGATGGCAAAGGAGTTTGCAATGGGACAGAGAGAGAATGGCAACAAAACCAATCCAGGGATGAGCCAGCTGCCTTGCAAGGAGAGGGAAAAAGGCTGGGAT